GGTTTCTTTTTGCTAAGCTATGGGTATGACACTTATTTGAATCAGGACATGACACTTATGTAAAATTTTGACATATGACACTTATTTGGTTATGACAGGATACAGTATTTTATGCTCTGAGATGAGTTGTATTTCTTTTATTTTGTTCCTATACTAGAACTCGGGTTTAGCGTTTAGAGATTTACAATTTGAGATACAAGGTATATACATGAGGGTTTCCTTGTTTGGATTATTTCGCTCGACGTACCTATGCTCGTGTTGCAAATCTCTAAATACTAAAATCCTCTTTGTTAGGATCTATGATTTTTTTTAGAATTTTTATGTAATAACTGTATTTTCTTATACAACGAGCCATGTTCCCTTGGGGTTGGTTGTGATGTTATTCGCTAGCGCTTTGACGCTCATTGTCCCCCCCCCCCTTTCAGGTAACGAGCAAGGAGCCCGGAGAATCGCAGGTTGATGGCGATGCATTTTAGCTTCAGCTGTCTAGTTAGTTATATGTTTTCTTTTGGAGTTCCACAGTAGACTTTTGTTTAGATATTTGAGAGTCTTGTTCTAGAAGTTGTAAATGTTGTGTGCCTTATTTCCTTCTTGTCAGATATTTGTATTTGAGACTTGTTGGGTATTCCAGTTTATCTACTCAGATTTTGACTATATATTTTTGTATGTTGGATGATGAGACATTAATTTGATTATTATCATTTCATCAGTCTTCCTTGTATTATCTTCTACTTGCTTTTGTACCTGCACCTGTTGTTGACTCTACTAGATAGATGTTAATTATGGTGGTGAAACATGTTATTACACGGTGTGGTGCAAGGCAGGTTTGACATTCTTGGTTTCACCTTGGACTGCAGCCTTGAGTAAACCCAGGGGCGTCACAAAATATTAAAAAGAATATTTAAAGAATGTTTTTAGAATTATTTAAAAGGAGTTATTTTGGAAAATAGAATTATTTTTGGATAATTATAACAAGAAATAAAGGATTTATTTTGGATAAGGAAATCACTTTGAAGTAAATAAATTTATTAATTTAAAGGATTATTTTTGAATGTGTGATTCTCATTTTAATTATGTGATATACCATGATATCGTTGCGCATGATTGGTTGTACTTATTGTTTCATATTGTGTTTGAGAACCCCTAACAGTTCATGACTTAGTGACCTCGTGTGTCATGAACAGACTTAGTGACATGTGTGAGTGTGTTGACTGAGTTTAGGTGGTGAACCCGAGTTAATAGAAATTATGATTGTTGATTTAGACAAACAAGAAGAGTTGAGATGGGGAAGTCCATGTTCATGTGATCGGATATAACTGTTGATGTATCTTCCAGGCTCACCCCATGATCCAGTGTAGCTTGGGGTTAGTTTGTTGGGTCAAAGTGAAGCCAGTGTAGTCACTTTGGTCCGTGAAATTGATATTCACCTGATTCTTGCTTGAGTTCGAACCATGCCAGAATCGGATTGCGTGTAGCCCTCTGACCGATCCAGTGTAGCGGCGTATTGGGTGCACGTAGGGGATTTGTGAACAGTCAGTTATCCGATGATATGAGCGTTGACTCTGTGTGAGAGGTGACCATCGACCTGTTACAGTATGGCTAGTTATATGACCTCGTTCTTTAGATGATTATGGATACTTGTGAGATGTAGGCTAGTTGTGTTTCTTTTCATACATTATCTACAATTTGAGACATATGGTATATATATGAGTGTTTCCTTGTTTGGATTATTTCGCTCGACGTACTACGTCTCTTGTTGTAGATTTTTAAGTATTAATTTCATCTAGTGTATGACCCTATTACGTGGACGATTATTCTGATGACTAGCTGCATGATGACTTGTTACTTGATTAATTTTGCTGGATCTCCAGCTACACGTCTTTTTGTCATTTCTATTATCGTATTGATTTCCGCTTTGGTTTTCGTTTGTTCTATTTTCTTTTGTGGGGTCTTGCTGTGTGCCATACACACTGACGTACACCTGTTTTCTCTGGTGTACGTCAGACTTAGAGGAAGAACATGTCTAGCTGGGAGAACACCAGGAGCCAGAGGATTCTCAGCATGAGTGCATTGCAGACGTAGCAGAAGAAGAAGCCGAAGCTTAGTCATTCCTTTCAGTTGTTTTGTAGCACCTTCATTTCCTTTTGATCAGTGTATTTTTATATTCTCCAGTATTTCATTCAGATAGTTTTTGTATAAGGGCATGTTTGACCTATATTATTATGTCTCGGATGTTATCCCATTTGTGATATGATATTTTTATTCTGAGTTTGTCTATTATATTCTTACTGATTGTGATCGGGGACCTGTGATTTCGCATTGTATTTATTTTCAGACGCTTAGCGTATTGGATTAAGAAGAAAAGAAAAAGAAAAAAAAATAATAGTGTATATTTCTTCTCAATCTAATACGTCGCGGGCTTGTTCACGTTTCGATTCCCCGGTATTTTGGGAAGCGGGGCGTGACATGTACTGCTTTTCCTGGAAGCAGTTTGGCCTTGGGATCTTTGCACCGGAGTAGGCCAAATATTGCTTTAAATACAGCGTTTCACAAACGCACAACAGTTAACTTGAAAAAGTTTAAAATTACGGCATATCATCCTTCACTGTTTAATTCCAGATTGCCTCAGTTTCGCAACCTATAGTATATATGTATATTCATAGCTAATATATATATTATTATATATACTATACAAAAACAAGAGGCGAGAGAAGATGAGAGCGATCGGCCGGAGAGGCCGATTCTGAGGCGGACGAGCACCGCTGGGCGGTGGGCCCGAGGCCCCGCGGGCGCTCTGGGAGCGCCCGTGTCTCATGACGCGGTGCGTGGGGCCCGCCCGCGACGAGGGAGAGAGAGACTGCAGAGATGAGAAGATGATGGCGTATGTGTTTGGGTACCATACGCCGAAATATTGTGTTTCGCGCCTTAATGAGGTGAACAATCGCACTTCTACTCATTCAAATAGGGGCATCACATCTCACATGGTGTCGGAGGACGGTGCATTGGCGATATGCAATTATTGAATGAGTGGAATGACGATTATGCCACCTCACTGACTCAAGCCACAATTCTTTTCGGTGTTTCGCGGCTACCAAGCAGTAACCTCATTTTCTCATATACTATATATACTTATTATTATATTATATATATATATATGAAACAATATGTCGAAACAACTTGGGGTACAACAAGTTGGGCTTGCCATTGACCGCTTTGCGTAGTGAGGTGGCCAAATCACCCCCCTACCATCAAAACCGTTGAAAATGGAGCCTCTTTCTTAATAAAGTAGGTGATCGTGATTGAGGCTCTCTCTTTCAAGGGTTAAGCTGATGTTAGGGATGCGGTATGTGGCAAGCCTCGCTATCCAAGCTTCATGAAAACTTGGGTACCAGTTATTCTCGCATTATATTATATATTATATCTATCCATATACTTATTAGTAGAAGAATAATGTACGCTTATAAGGTTATACTTTATATGCTGTCATATTATTAGAATACTATTATTAAGTTATATTTATATAAGCTGTCCATAAATCCGTAATACATTATGTAAGCGTTATTATCTGCATCTGGAGTATTATCAAAAGAAGGTATATATCACGTAAAGTTTGTATAACTGCCACTTCAATAAGCACTAATGTGTTAAGTATGTAACAAATATATACTATACGTAGTATAATACGATCATTTCATAATAACGTACATATCGAATGGTCTATGTGATCTCTCCTCTCTCTTCTCTCTCCTTAGGTATACTATATCATTTTATATTCATCATATATACTATATATCTACTACTATCCTCAAGTTATAACTTATACAGTATCATACAATCATAGCTGAAAATTGCTCAAACGGCCCCCCACACATCAAGTTTCATATGCGCTTCAAGTTTCCAACTGTGCCCCTCCTTCCCTCCAACTCCCAATGGTGTGACAGCTTCCCTTCATAATTGAAACTTTTCTGTCGTCATGCCCCTGCCTCCCACCTTCCATCTGTAACCTCCTTCAACAATCCCGATTTTATCCTCTCCCATATACCTCGTCTCTCCTCGCGGGTCGCCCCTCCGAACGGCGCCTCAGCCTTCTCCTCCCGAGTCTCCGCCCTGCCCACTTTCCCTCCCGGCGCTCTGCCTCTCGCCCTCCTACACCTCCTCACCCGCCTTCCGGTCCCCCTCCCCACCCATCCCACCTTCCTCGCCCCGCTGCACCTCCCATACACCTCCCTCCTCCTCCGGTCCCCCTCCCCCACCTCCCTCCCCCGCTCCGCCGCCGGCGTCGTCCCGATGAACTTCGCGTCTCATGTTAACTATTATAGTTAAAATGTTAACTATTATAGATAACATGTTAACTATTATAGTTCACACATTGAGTTCAAAACATATTTATGAAATTATAATAGATAACATGTTATATATAACAGTTAACATGTTATCTATAATAGTTAACATGAGCTAGGATGAGCTGACATGAGCTGTCATGAGAAAGAAAAAAGTTAAAATTAGGATTTTAGGAGCTGACATGTCTAATCATGAGCTAGAATCATGATGGAGGGCCATCAACACAGTTTTTTCAAAAAAATGGGCTGCAGCACATTAAAAAAAATATGAAGGACTGGGGCACATTAAAACTTGAATTTTGAGGTCTTGAAGCAATTTTTCCTTGTATTTTTAAGGGTAGAAGGCTCTTTTCGTGATTTTTATTACTCACAGTTCAAAACGATCGTCTAAAATATATTTTAGACAAGAAAATATATTACCAGATTCCGTGATCAGGATTTGAAAACATTTCCTAATCGGTTTCGGATACATAATCCCCCCAATAATTTCCCAATCGACGCCTTTATAAAAGAAAACCAACAAACAAAAGAAAAGAAACAACCACTATTTATTAATTCCCCCTCCACTCCCAAATCTCTCGTCTCCTGCTCCGATCTCGCTCCCCTCTCTCTCGCCAATGGCGGGCCTCAGCGCCCCCCTTCGATCTTCCACTTCATCAGGCCAGCTCATCAAGCCAGCTCTTCTCCTCTCGCCTCCTCCTCCTCCTCACTATCCTCCCTCTAACCCTAGCTCTCTTCGCCTTCATCCTCCAATGGTCCTCACTATCCTCCCTCTAACCCTAGCTCTCTTCGCCTTCATCCTCCAATGGCGTGGAGGCCTCGACGATCCCGCGTCGAGGTGGCCCGTCGACAACCAGAAGTTTCCTGGGATGGATAACAGTCCTCTAGGATCGTCGTTGTCGACGGCTCACGCGATTTCGTCGTCGTCGAGCTCTTCGGATTGTCTCCAGATCCTTGGACGGAGCGCGTCGCCGTCGTTTCCTTATTATAGGGGTTGGAATTTTGATTTGGAGAAGAACCTGAGACCTAAGGTGAGATTTTGGATCTGAAAGATTTCGCTTTTTAGGAGTCGTTAGGCTTGTCTTTTCCTTTAATTTTCTAGTTTGTTTACTACTATGTTGGTTATCGGTCTAAAGTTATGGAATTTGGGATAATCTTTTTCGTTAGAATCTAATATGTTTTTAAAATAAAATGAATTTGTGTAAGACTTTAATTTCGGCATCTGTGTATTAACTGCTAAGACGGCCTTTTCTTTTATTTGGGGACGATGAAGCTTGATGAACTACTATTTATATGTCAATTTGTAATGAATATTATTTGAATTTTCTTTTGTTTTGTTAATTGTTCTTCTGGACATAAGCATAAAATAGCTTTCAAATCATGATCTGGCTCAAGTTTTATACTTTTTGATCTCTTGAACTACGTGAATAGTTCATTTGCATAGTTTCTTCTGCTTGCTCAGTGATGAAACTTGGAGGGTAACTTTCATTCTTCTGATGTGTTTGATATAATTGAATTCGCAAATAATTTAATGTTACTTCTTGTTTCACATCAATGTCTAATTTTTATAGGCTAATCTATTCTTATGATTCATGTTAATTTAAACTTGCAGATATGCATTACGTCGAGTACTTCAGCTAGCTTAGAGCAAATTCTGCCCTGGATGTTTTACCACAAGGTTCTTGGAGTGACAAACTTCTTTCTGTTTGTAGAAGGAAAGGCTGCAAAACCCGATGTTTCAGCAGTTCTAGAATCTATTCCTGTAGGTTTCTTCATCCTTCTTTGGCCTGATATTAAAGAATTTATTTTTACCTGTCTGGCTTTTTGCATAATTCTCACTCAAAATAGTGCTGATTATAACTTCATGTTTTTGTGTATTGCCATTGTTTGGCAGGGGGTAAAAGTGATCTACAGAACTAGAGAACTCGAGGATAAACAGGCTAAGAGGTTAGTTCAAGTTACTACATGGCATGGAATTCTTTATAATGATTGTCTATGGAAATATGCTCTTTAAGCAAAAGTACAACCAAGTTTCAATTACTGTGGCTATGAAATTCATTTAATGCTCATCATTCAGTTCATGATATAATGGGTTGATTGTTGGTCATATGTTGTACAGTTATCAATTATATTCATGCATAATGCTAAAAAATATAAGCAAGATTTTAGTTTATCGAAAATTGTAACCAATCATCGTAGACGGTCAACAATTTTAAGGGCAAGTCTTCATCGTGTAGTTTGTCAGTTGTGGTACACATAATTTCATATTTTAGTTCCTTTATGATCTCAGCATCTATTTATTGTTTAATGTGTCTGCTACATTTTCATATATCCATATTCAAGAATTAAAATAAAAAAACTAGAAGCAGAGTCTCACAGTCACACCAATCTTTGCTATATTAGATAATGGTCCGCTACATTCATGTGCATTTATTATTAGTTCTGCACATAAAGCTAAATCACTCATAGTTTCTTGAAGATTTCCTACTTAAGTTCTAGGCTTCTGAGATATGACAAGGCGTCACGATTTCAAGCGTTGTCACCGACATTATTATATTCTTTTTCCCCTATATTGGGAGAGGTGGGTAGGATCCATCGATATTAAAAAAAATGTCTCTCTTTTCGTCTAACTTTAGGTTTTTACTTTACCACTTGCTTGAGCACTAATCTAGATGTTCATGAATAAGTATGAGTATACAATATAAATATGTGGATACCCTTTTATGAATTCTTCATGTATATGGAAATTAAATAATAATTCACACTGTGAAAACTTATAACTCAATCATCAATGAAATCCAACATACATTTATATAGAAATACATCTCTGATTCAAGAGCTCATCGTATATTCCAATCCCATTTACGGTCAAAACACACAAAACAGAACTCTTTTGTATGTGTATACTATTACAAAACTAGATATGGATTGGATCCCTATAAATAATTCTATGCATACTCGTGAGAGTCATAGATGATACTTATTCAATAAAAATATGATTTTCTTCATGTAGAAAAATCTGGGCTTTTACGGGCAATATTTTATTCATAGATCCCCAAGATGCGAAAGGGTTTTTTCTGTTTGAAAATTGAAGAGTTCTTTAGACCTACGGATTAGAGCTCGATTACATTCAAATGTTTTTTGTTTCCATTTCAGAGGAAGACTTTATCATTGGTGATTATGTTCCCAGAATCTTGTTCTATAATATTTACATGTTAATTTAACTTGAAAATCTTCAGCTGAATTTGTTACTTGTGCCTCTTTTTTTCTTTTTTTTTGGGGATAAGTACATGGTCTTGAATTTTGGAGATCTTCATTGACCAGTCCTATTACTACGATATTCTCAGTATCCGAGTGCAGTTGGAATTGGCACCATAACTGTATAGATTTGTCATGTAGTCCACTAAAATGAGCATATGAATATATGTTTTCCATAAATAGAAGGTCAATATACTCCTCCTGAGGGCTTAGGGAGCATGGATTTTCCCTACAAAAGTACTCTCTTCCTTTTTAGTCTACCTTTGAGTTTTTGTCTTGTAAACTGTGTTTTATGGATAAGAGCTTTGAAGTCTTTTTCATTATAATTCAATGGAATTGCTTTAAAAAAAAAGAACTGTGCTGGAGCATAGTAGTTATTTACTTAGTTTTGGCAGTAGTGATGTCTGATTACTACTTTCTTTGAAAGATGTAGCCTTTTGTAATTGTTGATAAGTTATTGGAATATCTGTTGGGTGCATGTGATAGTGGGTATCTATTACCGTTTTCCTCCTAATGTGTTTTTTCCTTAAATTTGTAGTCGTATTTGGAACGAGACGTGGCTGGCAGGCTTCTTTTACAAACCTTGCAACTACGAGTTATTTGTAAAACAATCACTCAACATGGAGATGGCTATTGTTATGGCACGGGTATGGCACATTTGGCCACTTTATCATAACTAGAATTACTTTTTTTCAGTTGTGTTGTTGGCTAATCTTAACCTTGCAGTGAGATTCCTGATTCTATTTTCTTTGTCATTGCATCTCTCTTAAAAGAGTTTCTTTGAGACATTGTTTTAACTTCATAGAAATTGCAATTGCATAAATTTTTTTAAATTTAAAGGCAATTGCATAAGTTTTATAAACACTGATATGAAACTTTAATTTTTGTAGTATTTTGTGATTGGAGAGAAAATATAGAAACAATAAGTATTTTTTGTTTGTGTAGAATGCTGGCATGGATTGGATCATCCATCTAGATACTGATGAATTGATGCATCCAGCTGGGGCTCCAGAATATTCTTTAAGGAGGTTGCTTGCAGATGTACCTAGCAATGTTGACATGGTTATCTTTCCGAACTATGTAAGTGGGTTGCTATCAGTAACTGTATCAAAATTCATTTCCCAAATCTAATGAACTTTTGTGTTCCAGGAAAGTAGCATCGAGCGAGATGATGTAAAAGATCCCTTCAGTGAGGTAATTTATGTTACATTTTGCGTGTGCAATTTCAATTCCAGTTCTATCAATTATCTTTATCATACCCAATGCCCTTTTTCTAGATGTTTAACATGGGTATTTTGGATTTTAAGTAATACAATAAGTAGGAAATAATGAAAACACATAAATTTAAATGTATATCATTCTTTTAAATAGAAGTCTTCTTGCAATGGCATTGTGTATATATACACATTATGCATGTGGAAATATATGTATTAGTGTATTGAACCATGTACGTGCGTATATTGGTACCCACTCATACATGTATATAAATTTGATATTATGTAGCAGATTCTCAAAATAAGCTTAGGAAAACTTGGGGATGTGTGCTGCTAGTTTATATCTTCACGCCTAAAGTAGTCTGAATGAGAATCAGAGTTGTCTGGAAACTACTTGGTCTTTCATTCTTGGATAGTTTGCAAGTATCGATCAATATAAAAGGTGCAGTCCCCAATGGGGTGCTTGCTTTAGGGTTCACATGAAGCTCATATTGAGAGTCAATCTTTGTGTGCGCGCGCTCATGCATATATGCTAGTTGAAACTAACAAACCAGACATTTAGGAGGGAACACGAGCTTCCATGAGAGCGCTTAAAGTCTATTTGTGTGCTTCAGTTGCCTAAGTACATACAAGCTTTTCTCGCTTACCCGATCTCAAACCATCTATCTGAAAATGCACAGTGAGAATGCTTTGAGGTTCATGGGTTAGGCTAAAACATACACATCTCACAGAAGCTTAGAGCATCAACATTTGTACCTTTTTATCCCTTACCATTTGATGATTGCACATTGTCTTTAGGATGCAATGCTAAGGATGATCTCTGAAAGCTCAGAGCATGTATTTGCCTGACGCTTGTTCTTGGCAAGGCATATGTCGTAGTATATAGCATGAAACATTGTGTATCTATCAGGGGTTTCTAGTTAGGGCTTAGATTGAATACTTACCCATCAATTTTTATGGTTACGTATCTTACCAAATCAGAACAAAATCTTGAATTTTATATTTTGTTTTCCATTCTTCTTGTGGACTTTGTATTATTTACATAAAAGGAAAACATGGGATGTAATTTTTATGATTTATTCATAGTATATGTATTTGTCACCCTGAGCTATTGCATTTATAAATGAAGATTTCACTGTTAAATTTTGTTACTTCGTTGTTACCGTAGATATGTTGTTCTTATTGAACCTTCATATTTCTTATCAACAGGTCTCCATGTTTAAGAAGAACTATGACCATCTTCCAAAGGAAACTTATTTTGGCTTGTACAAGGAATCAACCCGTGGTAATCCTAACTACTTTCTAACTTATGGTAATGGAAAATCAGCTGCTCGAATTCAAGATCATCTTCGTCCTAATGGTGCACATAGGTGGCACAATTATATGAAAACTCCAAAGTAAGATGTTCTTTTTATTTTTATTTTCCTCTTCGCTGTTACGTTTTTATGGTTGCATACCTTAAATCTATTTTTCCTCCCAGTTAACAGTCATCTTTTAGCTCCAAGCTAAAATAACTTTTTGTTCTATATTATGTGCATTTTAAATTGCATTTCTTATGAAAGACTTCATTTGTATAGTGAAATTAAATTGGAGGAGGCTGCAGTTCTGCATTACACATACACCAAGTTCTCAGACTTGACTTCTCGACGTGATCGTTGTGGCTGCAAGCCTACGAAGGAGGATGTTAAAAGATGCTTTATGTTAGATTTTGACAGAGATGTAAGTATTCAGTCAATAAATCAAGTTTCTCGATCTATCACAATTCAATTAGCAAAAGTTTCTCCATTTGTAGAGTTTTGATCCCATCATGCTCCATAAACTAGATTTTTCCTTTCTTTGTTAGTATGCATATTGACAACCTTTAGGTTTTTCTTACTTAGCACTAGATAGCTTTACCAGGTTCGATGATATTGTAAGCAATGCCATAGTACACCCTACACATGATGTTTTCAAAGTTATCTGGACCTTGTTTTATTTTTTAGGGTGTACATTTTTCTGAAAATGCAAGTTAAACTAGAAATCTTTCATTCCTAGAGAAAGGAAAAACGTTTGTTTGTTTGGTCGATCTTTATAGATTGAGCATATGGAGGTTGGTAGTCTCACGACAGATTCTCATTTACTCAAGTATATTGGTTCTCTGAGTAGCTTCGGCATCTCGCGTTATAGTTGCATAAGCTATCCGCAATCCATATACAACTCAGACATCGCATGCACACTGGAGGATTGCCTTAGATCTGGAAAAAAAAACCTTTTTTATCAAATCTTTTGAATTTATTTAATACAATTGGGGAAATTAAACCCTTTATTTCCCTCTCTAACCTTTAAAATACCTGTTGCCAGTTTGATTCCCAATCGTCCATCTTTGTTCATGGATCTACTCATCCGAATTAGAGATTCGTATGTTTGAGTTTTTTATTTTTTATTTTTACTCTGCATCTAATGGTATCTTTCTTCTGGTTAAAATGACATATTTACCTTCTTACATGCTCATTCTGGTCAAAAGTTTGATGTTTGGCTTATCTGGTGATCATTTCATCATGTTGTGCTGCTAAGAAAGTTCGTCCTTTCAGCACCTTGTTCATCTGATATAGATCACTGCTGAACTATCTGGACTGGAGTCAGGCTAGAGACTGTATATAGTGAAGCTACACCTTT